GAGAGAGAGAGAGAGAGAGAGAGAGAGAGAGAGAGAGAGAGAGAGAGAGAGAAGGGATTAACAGAAAACAAACAAAAAAAATATGGATAAAGAAATATGAACTATAGTGGAAAAAATCATCAAAAAATCCGGCATCATTTTGTTTTTTGGATTTGGAAAAGTAAATAAACAAAGAAGGATCTCTTTTTTTGGGATTGACAACAGCCAAAAGAAAATTCGTTAGTTTTTTTCGGGTGAAAATTCTTTGGAAATTCTTAGCACCAAGATCGATCGATTTAGCCAAATTGATGAGGAAAAAAAAGAAATGAAAATTTTCAAAAATGAAAAATAAAAAAAAATTTTTTACAAACCAGATAATTGACTGCCAGTTGATGAAAACAAATGGTTGGAAAACATGTAAATCATCAAATGATGAAAATTGCTAAATCATAATTTTTTTTGTTGTTTTGAAAAACAAAAAAATTTTGAAGTTTCTTTTTCATTTCTCTCTTCAAAACAAAACAAAACAAGAAAAAATCATATGAAATAAACAACAACAACAATAGACATCATCGATGATGATAATGACGAATAATTAAAAAATGAATTGAATTTTGGAATAAAGAAGAAAAAGAAGAAGAAAGAAATTACAAAAAAATTTTTAATTATCACCGACAACAACAACAGCAACAAGTTTTTTTTTTGCTTTTCATCGCCATCATCATTATCAACATCAGATTTCTCTCCATCAACATCTCACATTCTCTCGTTCGCATGTTCGTACATTTCATTCATTTTAAAGAAGTTACACTTGAAAAAATATTTATAAACATGTTCATCATCTTTATCTTCATTCATCAGTTTAGTTAGTTAGTTAGTTTGAAAAAATGAAATGGAAAAAAAATTATTTCAATCAACAAGTTGCTGTTGTTGTCGAGGACATCCAAAAAAAATTATCATCATCAAAAACTAAACGAAGAATTAGTGGTAAAGATGATGTTTGATTTGATCATGAATTTTTCATATTTTTGTTTCGTTTTTTTCCATATTTTTGATTCGAAAAAAAATTGTCATCAATATTCATTATTGAATCAAAGAAAAAAAAAACATGAATAAATTTTTCAATGTTTTCAGTGCTTTTCTTTATCTGTAAAACTCGCTGTGTAGTAGTTGTTGATTGGACTAGAGAAAAAAAAAAAGATTCCAATGTTTTTCTCTCTCACTCTCAATCACTTTTCACAACAAGAAAATTTGATTTGATTTTTCATTCATTTAATGTCAACCAAGTTTGCACCATTATTTTTTGATTCGAGTAGTGTTTTGAATCATATAACAAAATCAAAGATCAAATACATCACATTCATTGACAAATTTTCGTTTAGTTTTCGTTAATATCGATATTGATAAATGAACGTACGAACGAAAGAAGAAAGACGACAATGGCCGATAGTAACAGATGAATTTTTCTATTTTATTTTTGTTTACATGTTTTTTTTCAATGTTAAAAATAAAATACATATCCCATGTCAACAACAACAGGTGACTGCATTTTTTACGCAAAAAAAAAAAATCTTGAAAATGTTTATGCGACTGGTTTTCGTTTCATTTGCTGTATCAGATATAGATTTTTTGGCGTCAAAAAACAGTGAAAAAACGAACGAATGAATTTTTGTTGTCGTTGTCGTTGATCACCTGCAAACATTTTTCAATTAATCAGATTTTTCAGATTTTTCATTTCGCTTAATTGAATTCGTTTTTGTTTTTGTTTTCTAGTTTGAATTTACCTTGAAAATTAGTTGATTATTGATGATGATTGAATGGATGGATGGATGGAGAATATATATTATTTATGGATTCCGATGGAAAAAGGTTTCTCTTTTTTTTCTCTTTTCAAAAGTGAAAATTGACAAACAAAAGTTGACATTTTGTTTTTGAAACAAAAAGCAATTCAAAAAAAAGAAACAAAAACAAAAATCAAATCGATCGATAATGATTTGAAAAATCTGAAATTTGATGCCCAGATGATGAAACGAATAAACTTTTTATTTGAATCGATAATGATTTTTTCCATTGATGATTGATTCCTGGAACGATAACTGTTCAATTTTTGGGGGGAAAGCGGGGGAAAACACACACACACACACACACAAAATCATCAGATTTTGATGATAAAATGATGATTTATCCTACAAATAAAAACCAAATGTTTATAATCAACATTCTTGATGTAAAGGTATACAAAATGAATTCAACTTTTTTTGTTTATTTTAACCATTCGTTAAACAAAAGCAAAAGCAAAAACAAAAAATCATGCAACATGTTATACACGGTGGCTAATAGTACACGTGCTGACGTTCAACATCAATTCTCATCAATCAATCAAAAAAAAAACGAAAAAGAATTTAATTTAGACACACAATTGATGTCTGTGTTACATGATGATTCAAACAGATTTTTTTTTTCTGTTGTTGCGAAAACAACAGTAATAAAAAAGTTGTTTTGTTTTGTTTTTAGGTTGTTGTTGTTGTTGTTGTTTGAATGAAAAAACCAACAACAACAACAACAGGATTGATTTGAATAAAAATGTTTTGAATAAAACAATCAACGATTATCGATTCTTTGGTGCAGAAAACATACACACAATCAATCTTTTCAAACAATTTTTTTTTGTTGTTGATGATTTTATCGTCATCAAACTTTCAACAACAAAAAAAAAAACAATCACCAATTGATTCACCTGTTTGCCTCATTAATTTTCCATTTCATTTCAATTCATTTGGGCAACTGAAAGTTGAGCAAATGAATGAATGAATGAACGAAAATAACAACCAATGATAAATCCAACTAACCAGCCAAACCAAACCAAATGCATTCAACCATTACAATCAGGAAAAACAAAGACAAAGACATCCATTATCATCCAAACTAGAAATCCGTACTTGAAAGTACAACAGTAAAATCAAATCAATAATTATAATCATAAAGGTTGTTGTGGCTTTGTTTTTTTTTCTACAGACGACGAAATCAAATCAATCAATCGATCGATTTAAATGTTTACCAAACCCAAAAAAAAAATCACTTGTTTGTGCTTGCTTGATTGAATTCTCAACTAATCTAATAATGCTTTTGTGTAGATAATGTTTGTGTAATCATTTTTCTGGTTTTCTTTTTTTTTAGTTTGCACAACTGATTTGTATTTGGTTTTGTTGTTGTTGTTGATGATAATGGATCATTTGATTACGAAATTGATCCGGGTTTTGGCAACAATGAAATATTTCCAGGAAATTTCCAGGAGAAAACAAAATTATTTGTTCCGATAAAAAAAAAAGAACGGCCGGCAATATTTGGATTTTCAAAATCAAAATTCAAAAAAAAAAGATTATTTTATCGCCATCTGTTGAGGCAAATCATGAACAAAGCCTTTTGATTCGAATTTCTATATTTGGTTTCGAATTCGAACTTCCTTTTTGTTCGAAAATTCGAACAATTATTTTATTCTCGTTTCTTCGTCATATCATTTTTTCATCAAATTTTCGAAATCTTTTCATGTTCTTTTTTCAGGTATTTTAATCAATTTTACATTCATTCATTCGGCTAAATTTTCTCCATATTTGTGATATTTAAGATATTGAAAAAATTTTTATTAAAATTTACTGTCAGAAGACTTTATTCTAATATTCAAACTACAAGAATTCAAATTTTAAATCATATTCTTGATAAAATTGCAAAAAAAAGATTCGATAACCGAATGTTCAATTCAATTTAAAATCAAAAAAATTAACAACATAGAAAGCTCTTCAAGAAGAAAAATTCAAGCTCATCGAAATGGAATAAAGCTCTTTGATGATTTCAAAATTTGCAAGTGCAAGGAAAAAAAATACGCTGCAAAGGAATTGTCGAAATGTTTATTATTCAAAATGAAAGAAAATATAGAAATTGGAATTAACGATAAACCTGATCACTATTATAAATGGAGCAATGTCTCATTTGGACTGTGTGGATGAATTGAAGAATTTAAAGATGAATCGTAATCTTGATACTGATGGTGGAAATTCATAGTTTTGCCGATACGTCAATCTTGGCTTATGGTGTAACATACTTTAAACCTGAGTCATTTATCGTTTATGTTTTGTATATAAGCTCTGTACATATCAGTAATAGATACGATGATCACACACCATACTTCAATGGTTATTCGATTTACATCAAAAAAAAAGATGACAAATTTCAAATTTTTTGTTCCATAAAGCCAAATTAGCTCCACCAAAAGCTATTGACTATTGTAGAATTGGAATTGAAAAGCCAACCGTCTTGAATCCCGGCGGGAGTGTGAAGAAGCAAAAATTATGTAAGATTATTGATGAGAATATTATTTGGAAAACAAAAAATGTTAACTGCATGTGTAAACTTAATAGAAAATGAAAAAATAAAGGTTTTTCAAAAAAAAAGATTCAAAAAAATTTGTTTTGTTTTTTTATTTGGTTTAAAAAAAATCGTATTTTCATTAATGCAATAGAAGATAATATGAATCAAATTGATGGATTATGATTTGGCCATCGGTATTTGTTTTGGTTGACCTGCAGTTGATTGTTGTTGTTGTTGTTGAGCAGCAATTTGTGCCATTATCAATTGTTGTTGTCGTTGAAGACAGCTTTGTCGAACGGCACTTTTTTCTTGCATCGATTTAACAATTTTATCCATTTGTGTATTTAAAAATTGAACTTTACGATTAAAATAATCGATTGTTGATTTACGATCACGTTCAATATAATAACCAGTACCAATATCCAACAGGAATTCATTATTATTTACTGTACGACCTGGTACATAAAGTGATGGTGTTAAAGGAACCATTATTTGATTATCATTAGGTAGTTTATCGAATGATTCAACTGTTTCATAACAACCAACAAATTT